TTATTATTATCATCATCATTATTATCATTGTCATTATTATTATTATCATTATTGTTATTATTGTTATTATTATTATTTAAAACAAAGTATTTCTTCACTGTGGTATTACAAGTTTTACGTAAAAAAAATCCGAGAGTACCTCTTCCACCACTGCTGAGAACAGATTTTCATCTTTACAACATGACAAGTCAATACTTGAATTAATATTTAAATGTCCCACGGCCTGAAGGCATCATTCCTCCTCTGGTGACGTCAGCCGGAACCAGGAAGTACCGAGTAGCTTGTTGTGAGTTGTCGCGGTGGCTTCTTTCAGTTGCTGGTGTCTTCTCTCCTCCTGGCTCATAAATGGCGAGCTCCTCGGGTCCGGGTCTGACCGGGCCGGGACTCTGGTCCTCGGCGCTGCTCCTGCTGGTGCTGACGGGTCTGATCGGGCCGATCGGTGCCGTATCCGAACCGGGGAAATGGGTCATGAACGTCGACAGCGTGAGTTTCCTGTTTGTATTTGTTGGAGCTGACACAGTGGATGTTGATCGTGTTGTTGTCTTAGCGTTAGCTGACAGTTTGTCATGTAATTAAACGGGTCGAAGTTAAATGCGGTGTAAACAACGTTCATCAGATTCAGTCCAATCAGCTCGTTTTATTGCGAAGCTTGTGTGTGAAATAGGTGACACAGCAGACAGATGTTTACAGTGGTGGAAAGTAACCAAGTACATTTACTCAAGTCATGTAGTTAACCAAATTTTGAGCTATTTGTACTTGAATACTTTCATTTTCAGTGTCTTTATACTTTATACTTTTTACTCCACTACATTTATTTAATGTCTTAGTTACAGGTTTAGATTAAAAATACAATTATAATCACCAAATTATCATTATCAATCCACAGCGGTAAAGTCACAAGCTACCCAGTGGTGTATAAAGTAATATTACACAGGGTAGATTTCAGGGGGGACACAGGGGACACGTTCCCCTCAATGTTGAGAATTCGTGCACAGGGTTTATACAAGGCGCTTGAGGTGTTTGACGTACTTGAATTGACTCTTCATAATTTAAGTACTGGATAAAATACATTTTGTTGCTGACCCCGTCCACATAAGTACATTGTTTAGCTTCCATGTCAGACTCCAAACTGGGGCCATGCCGACTAACATCAGCTCTGACTATAGATAAATGCCCCGTACAACCCCACTTCAAAAAATCTGAACTATCCCTTTAATGCATGTAAACAGGTCCTGTTCGTGCATGTGTCTGTATTTTGGGCCTGTAATCTGGAAAATAACAACAGAGTGAAAAAATTGAATTTCCCCTTGAGGGACTCATCAAGGAATAATTACAGTCCAAAAATATGATTTATATAAAGTTTGGGACTTTAGATATATTTTGAAGGGGTGGGAATCATCAGATATTTTCACAATACTTAAGCCAAGATACAATTTTATTGCAATTTCTATTTATCATATTAATGATTTATATCATAAAAAGTCGAAGTCGCAATGTGTGACGATATGATATTGCCACACAAAAATATTGTGATACTATGCTGTGTTGATTTTTTCCCCACCCCTAATATTTTGGCATGCATTCTTCTGTATGTAGAGTGATATTGATATATATGATATAATTTAAAATAATATTATCAGCTTCACAAACATGAGCATGTTTATGTCTTAAATATGTATTGATTCTGTAAATTGAAATCCATCCATTAAACTAATTTATTAATTCATACATTTAACCTTTTATTTATACAGGGCGGTCCAATGAGAGCAGTTTACTCTGTTTAAAATGATATTTAATCAAAATCAAAAATACTTGGGGCGTCGGTGGCTTAGTGGGTAGAGCAGGCACCCCATGTACAAGGTTGTTGCCGCAGAGGTCTGGGTTCAAGTCCAGCCTGTGGCCCTTTGCTACATGTCATCCCCCCTCTCTCTTCCCCTTTCAAACTTACCTGTGCTGTCCATTAAAGACAAAATGCCCTAAAAAATATCTTTCAAAAAAATCAAAAATACTTTATTGATCCCGGAGGGGAAATTATGATTCGTTATAGTTGCTCCGATGTAAAGAATAAGAGTATGAAATTAAAGAGTGTAAATGTAAAGCAATAAAATAAAATAAAGTAGCAATGAAATGTGCATTAAAATAAAAATAAAATGTACATTATGCTACCGTGTTTAACACTGGTACTAAAGATGTAAAAATTGAAATATTAAAATAAACGTGTCGTCACTGTGCTGAGGCTGTAAGTGTGAAAATTTAAGTCTAATATATACATCAGTAGAATAAAACAACAGTAGATTTAGAGCAAACACGAATTAATTTATATGAAAGCCATTTTCTAAAGACACAGTTTGTATTGGAAGTTATATTAGAAATTATTTTTTTTTATTTAAAGGACTAAATTATTGATCTTCGTGTATGAATGACCCAGGCACCAGGGAAAAAATGACCCTCCATTTTTTTTCTACTCAAACTGAAAGTGAGTTGATGGTCATACAGTGGTGGAAAAAAGTTTTCGGACACCCTTAAAATTTTACACAATCTCAAATATTATCATGAAATATTTGTGGAAAAATCTTTTTTGTGTTTCAAAAGGTGTGGCTGCATTATACAGATACAAACAAATACAAATTATATTTTTTTGTTTATTGTTTACAAGAAAAACTAACAAAACTAAATTCTTGACAGTTTCAATATGTCAGTTCTCAACATTGTCGGTATCAAAGTCAACAAATAACAGAGAATGTGTTCAAAACTGAACAAAAATAAATAAACCATCACATCATCAAATTAATATTTAGTAGTCCTGCCACTGGCACGTAGTAGAGCTCTAATCCTGGCTGGCATGTTCCCCACGAGCCTTTCACACTGTTGAGGGGTAATCTTGTCCCATTCTTCTTGAATTACTGCTTTTAATTCTTCTAAATTCTTTGGTTTATGCTTTGAAACAGACCTTTTGATAATCCACCACAGATTTTCAATGGGGCTCATGTCCGGGGATTGAGCTGGCCACTCTAAGACCTGGATACTGTGCTCCTGCAGCCAAGTTCTACTGGCCTTGGATGTGTGGCAAGGGGCATTATCTTGTTGAAACATCCAGTTTTTACCTCGACGGAACAGTGCACGCGCAGAAGGGAGCATGTGGGTTTCGAGAATGGTACAATACTTGGTAGAGTTCAATGTGCCATCACAGACAGTGAGATGACCAACACCAGCAGCACTCATGCATCCCCAAACCATGATACTGCCTCCACCATGCTTGACAGTAGGTACTGTACATGCTGGAGATAATGCTTCGCCTGGCCTTCTGCGTACCCTCACATTAGTAGGAGGAAGATAAAGCTGGAAACTGGACTCATCTGACCACAAAATCTTCTTCCAATTCCTGGCTGTCCAGTTCTTGTGTGCCTGGGCCCAACGACGCCGGGCTAACCTCTGTCTCTCATTGATCAGGGGCTTCTTGATAGCCTTGTAGGACCTTAAGCCATGATCTAAAAGTCGGCCACGTACAGTGCGGGTGGAACACTGGACACCAGTTTGGTTTGACCACTGCTGCTGAAGCTCCTGTGATGTCATTCGGCGGTTTTGCCTGCACATGCGGATCAGGATGCGGTCATTTCTTGCTGAAGAAACCCTTGGACGCCCAGATCTTGGTTTGTCTTCCAAGCTGTTGGTTCGTCTGTATTTCTGCAGAGTGTATCCAACTGCTGAAGGACTGCATCTGCACTTCCTGGCTATCTGGCGGCAGCTGTACCCTTCCTGGCTGAGAATCTTTATCTTCAGGCGTGTTTCCTGCGTTAGGTTCCTTGTTTTAGCCATTTTTGTGTCTGAAGAACTTTCAAATGTGCTGGCTTTATGTAGACACGAAGCTTGGCAACAAAAATTGTGTCTTTTAATAAAAAGAACGACCTTCATCACTGGTACCAAAATGACCCAATACTCAAAATTTCTTATGTATTTTTATGGAACCAATCAATTTTAATGGCTTTTTTAGGATTTATTTAGTATTTTGGCTGTGACTGTACTAAAAGAAATTGCACTTGAAGACCTAAGAGTGATTCTTAATGCAATATTTCACAAATGCATGGGGTGTCCGAAAACTTTTTTCCACCACTGTATTTTCCTCCTGCATTTTTCTCTGTCTTATTTCTTCCCTTCAGTAGAAAGAAAACCTTTTCAAAATTGTTTTTAGTGGTTTTAGTAAGAAGTCCCTTGTTTTCTCTCTCCTCCTGTTGCGTTTGTCTTCAGGGGTGTGTGTACGTCTAAATTAGGGTTGGGACTCGTTAGGATTTTAACGATTCCGATTCCTTACTGATTCCTTCTTAACGGTCCGATTCAATCATACAAATACAAAAACTTTATTCTAACTGTTGCACAGTACAATTAGATGAAAATACACATTTGTGTGTGGTGTGCATTTCAGATTTAGAGCCTGTATCATCTCCCTGAGAATATATAACAACAAAAAGTGATTCTCTGATTTCTACAGTAACACTATTACCTCAAATTAACCACAGCAATGTAATAAAAAATACTTATATGCATTCATGCTTGGGCACTGTTATTTACGTGACAACACCTGAACAGAACACACACACACATTGGCTGTTTGTTTCTACCGCTCCCCTCGCTGGAAGCCTCGGACCTCCCGCCGCCCGCTCCCATCTCAAACACGGAGGTCTCCCTCTCCGCGGAGCACCCACAGTGCACGCCCGGCCTGTTAAATAGCCTGTAACCATAACAACTGTGTGACACAAACTCAGTGCTTTAGTAATTAAATAATGTCGGGTTTGGACAGAAATATGCGGCCCGTGCCGCACTCTAATGGAAATGCACATGACGTTTTTTTTTTACAATCTAGGAACCGTTTGCAGGAACCGTTACTCCAAATGTGATGGAACTGGTTCCGGAACTTGAACTTTGGACCCGGTTCCAAAAAAGAACTGGATCCAGATCCCAACCCTAGTCTAAATAAATAATCAGTAACACAACTGACAATAAAACCACACATGCCAGATATCTCAGAGTAAGCACTGCTTGGCTTTTAGGAATTACGCAAATGTGCACTTCCTGAAAAGCTTAAACACGATATTGAAGGTTTCTCTTTGTATTGCAAGATAAATGAGTATCTATTGTCACACTGGACAGCACATTTTAAACATCTTGTCACTGTAACATAATTAGAAGTTTAGTTCTGTGAAAAGCATTCAACTCCAGCTTACATTAGACTTTGAGAGCACCTGGTATGAATGCATGCTCACAAATGAGTCTGTTTTATCTCTGTGACAGTGACCAGGTGTTCAGATTTCACTGCCCAGTATCGTGGTAAAAAGACACTACTTTGATTTAAGATAAAGATGGAGAAGCTCAGTGATATGTTTTAGTTCTTGAAAAGGGCCACTCGTCACAACACCAGCTGGATCACAGAACATTTTTCTGTTCTTAAACTGTTTTATTTTGATGGTTTTAAGAGACTTCAAGAGTTCAATAAATAATTTTACTTTTCCTAGTCAGAGTTATGTTATCTCAGTGAATGGTTTTTATACTTAAGGTTTAGTCAGCACTCATATGTGTGAGGTGTCATGACACATTGTGAGCGTTGAAACTGTCCGATACAAAGATTATTTTCTTTAGAAAAAAATCTGATCAGTTGTTTGTGTTTATTTTGTTCCAGGAAACTCTTAAGAAGCACAACCACACCTTCTTCTTCACTAAAACTCTGTTCAACAACACCTACATCAATCTCAAATGTAAGTCCATAAAGATCCTGTCTTCTTCTGGTGTTAATTTTTATGCCTCCGCACCGCAAATCTCTTAATGGACTGGCTTATCTCATGTACTCTATCTTATACTTTATTTCCATTCCACACTTGACAGATGTGTCTCAATGTATTTTGTGTGTGTGTGTGTGTGTGTGTGTGGGGTCAGTGGTGGCAGAGAACTGTAACACGTCGTCACCCGTCCAGTTTAACGTTTCCTGGTATTTGAGGAACTCGCACTGCTACGATGAAGTCTTCAGCCTGGACGTAAGACACTGTTTTCTCTACTGTACTCTACACCTGTCTTCTGTTCAGAGCTGCAACGATTAGCCAATTAAATGATTAATTGAGAAAATATTCTACAGATTAACAGGTAAATTACATAATCGTTAATTGCAGCCTGACTTCTCTTTGTTCAGATCCTCAACCCGAGAGCTCAGCTTGGGTTGAGGATTGTAGCTCTGGTTTAGATGTGAAAAAACATAAATATGTATTTACATAGTGCCTGGAAGCATTAATCCAGGCACATTTTTATTCTTAACCTGCAGAGGCCCACCTGGTATGCAGACAGGGAAACAGGAGACCTGTAGTTAAAAAAAAATTAAAATAGGTTTAAATACATCAACTTTTATCTCCAGTACTGAAGCAGAATGGAAGTGGATGACAAAGTTATTTATTAAGTTAATTTTAGTTTATAAAGTTACTTATCAAGTCTTTTATCTGCTCTGCTCTCCACCACTGCGTTTGTCCTTTCTTCATACACAGTGTGGGGTAAAATACTCAGATATTTTCTGTCTAGTTTGAATGCACAATATGTATTCGTCTGCCGCTACGGGTCTCAATCAAACCATTAAGAAAAGATGCAGCATTACAGTCGGTTTCTCCTGGTTAGGATTCTGTCAGCGTTCATTGTTCAGGAGGTTTTTACTAGGAGCCGAATTATCCGCAGAGGTCTTTTCCTCTCCAAGACAAACAGACCAGGTGATTTAAACCATAAAAAAAAAACACTGAATAAAGTAGTTTCACTTTAGACATCGGTGTTTCTCTGATGCTGTTTGGCACGGCAGGGGCTGGAGCTGAGCTGCTGCTAACGTTTGCTCAGCTTGTTTCTCGGATAACTTTAGATCCAGATGTTCAGGAGGTTTTTTAACATGAGCCGAATTATCCACAGTGGTCTCTTCCTCTCCAGGACAAACAGACCAGGTGTTTTAAATCGGTCAAAACAATAAAATAGTTTTACGTTTAAAACCAGTGTTTCTCAAATGCTGTTTGGCACGGCAGGGGCTGGAGCTGAGCTGCCACTGTGTTTGCTCAGCTTGTTTCTCTAATAAATTAAGTTCCAGACATTTGATGACTAAAGTCCTTTATCAGATGTCAATCTTATACAAATCAATAACACATCTCTTTGTCATGTTTATTATTGTTGGTTGGTTTGTTTATCTCCAGGCGCAGCGGGTAGGAAGTTACTTCAAGTCGACGGAGGTCAAACCAGGAGGAGGAAGTGGATATTACGTTTTTCACCAGTATCAGGCCATCGTCTGCCAGCCACACATAAGCCCCAACACGGTGATACTCACACACACACAACACACACACACAGTGTACACATTGACTCACAGTGCAAACACATAAGTGATAAAGTGAGTGTATGTGGTGATTATGTTTTAAAGTCTTTGTCTTACGACACAGTTCAGCCTGGATGCATTTGAGACGATAACACGACTGACGGAAGTGCCGCAGCAACAGGTGAGACATTTCCTGCTTCTGCAAACAGTAGTCTGAGCTGACCAATCACAGCTCAGGCTATCAGCTGCTGTATAGCTTTAATACAGGCAACCTTAATGCACAACTATAAGCACAGCTTTATTGTTCTGAGAGGTGAAACCCAGCATTATTTCCTGTGTTGCTGTAGTTTGAGGATGATTTGGAGTCTCTCCAGACTCTTCAGGCCTCTTCTCTGATAACAATCAGTCACAGCCCTTGCCTTTTGTTTCCACACCTTGTGTCAGACAGGATCATATTCTGCTGTTCGGGTCCGTTTCAGCTCTGAACGTCAAACTGGTTTTTGTTTGCTAGAATAACAATGAAGAATCTGTGTGTGCACTGTACTTTACAGTACCAGTGTTTCTACTAAATCTATGTGTCTCTGTGTGTCTACTGTCTTTTACACAGAGTGATAGAAATATTTGAAAGAAGCTGGTTTTAACCAACATATTCAGTCCCTCCAGGATTTCATGGGCTTTTTAGGCCTATGTGCTGGCGATAGCCAAGGGTGGAGGCATACATTTTTTTGGGTTGTCCATCCCTCCGTCTGTCCCGTAAATGCGATATGTCAAGAACGCCTTGAGGCATTTTCTTCAAATTTGGTACAAACACTCACTTGGACTTAACAATGAACTGATTAGAATTTTGTGGTCAGAGGTCAAGGTCACTGTGACCTTGCATCCATCTTATTATCTTGAACTTAATATCTTAAGAAGGCCTTGACGGAGTTTCCTTGATTTTGGCACAAATGTCTACTGGACTCAAGAATTAACTGTTAATATTTTGTTGGTCAAAGGTCACTGTGACCTCACAAAACATGTTTTTCGCTATAACTTAAGAATTCATCCTCTAAATATGACAACATTTTGCACAAATGTCTACTAGGGTAAAATGATGAAGTGATGACATTAAATATCCAAAAGGTCAAAGGTCAGCTTCACTGTGACTTGTTCCAGTGAGAAAAAAACAGTGCATTTCTCTGAGTTTGTGATTTATACTACACTAACGTCATCACTAGCCCACATATTCAGTGTAACTCACATTGATTCTTTCAGCAGGAGCAGCAGATCTGATGCAACATCCTCTATCATGATGCTTTATCTGTTGGCAACACATTTCAGCCGTTGCCGTAAAAAAGTTTTCTCAATCTTTTTCCATTTCTGTTTCACCACAAGGTTGCATGCGGTGCAGTCCCTGCTGTCATGCATAACATCAGGGATTTGCTTTGCACAGTTTTTAGCAGTAGTTTTTGTTGGTAAATGTGAGACGTTGGTGTCACATGTTTGCATCTTTACAAACAAAAACAAGGAAGTGAGTGTGAAGCGTTGTGCAGGGAACTGCTATGTTTGGTGAAACTCACAGGAAACTATGATGTATGGTCATGTTTGCAGAGAAGTTGAGGTGACTGGACAAAATTGCAAGATTGTGCTGAATTCATGGGGATTGGTTGAATTTGCATTTATGTTTGCAATCGCAACATTGCAACGTCCTGGAGGAGCTGCAGATTGCAGTTATCTTTAAGAATCTTTCAGAATTGTTTCATTTATAATCACCAGCTATGTTAAACATATTTTCTTTTTCTGTTTGTTTGTCAGCCAATCACAGAGCAGACTTCAGGCAGGAGGAGGAGACAGGTGGAGCCTCCAAAACCAAAGGTGTGTACACCCAGTTCACTCAGGCAGCAGACCAGAAAGTAGAACATGCACTAAAGAAAATTCTGTCATACACCAAAAGATGCTTGGCCCACATGGGCCCACATGCCATTACAAAACATTAGAAACAAGAGCAATAACACCATGGTGCAAACCATATCTTTAAAATGTCAAACATATGCAGTTGGTAAGCATTTGACACAAACTGAGCTAACTGAAACACTTAACTGAAACAATAAACTCAAGTCTACATTCAAACAAACAAATCAGGACAATCTGCAGACAATTTAAGGAAAAGCTTATATCTGAGACTGCAATAAAGTGGACAATAGTGCAAGAAGTGTATTTCGTTTTTAATCTCTCAGAGGTCACACAAGGGACATTTTATGTTAAATTGAATGAATACGTCTGTTCTCCACTGCCAGAGGCAGGATACCACATCTCACCTGGGCACAGACAGACCTCTGCTCAAGTCAAGGATGACACAGTGCTCTGGGCGGTATATATGCTTAATTAGACCATATGTTCTCAGTTTTGGTTTACACAGATTTTCTCCTGACCATTTCTGTTTATAATTTTCAAATAATATTGTTTAATTTGACTTACTCTGCAACATGATTTATTTCTGTAGATAAACTCAAGACTAACACTACCAATATTTTTGCAAGCTCCCTTGTCTAGATGTAATTATTTCAAAAATCCCAACAGAAAATTTGTTTAGTCAGTCTACAATCAGGCATGTCGACTAATCTTTTTTATAGACATGTCACCCTTATGCCACACTTTACAAGGCATATAATAATACACATAATGTAGTAGAACCTGCAGTAAAAACTTTACAACATACAGTTTAACATGAAGCATGAAAAAGAAATAGGGTGGTTGAGCTCATGGCACAGGAAGCTCTTATATGTGCAGTAGAGAATACAACAGTATTATGGCTAAAATATAAATAAATATAAATATTATAAATAATGAATATACAATATGATCTAATCCTGCCCGGCCAAGCGTTTCTTTGGCACCACTGTCACCCCGATTGGTCACTTCAAGAAACATTTTGGGGACAAGCTTCAGCGGCTTATTTAAAAAACAAAAAAAACAGTGAGTTTGTTGATGTTGGACAAACTTTGATCGATTTATGGACAAATCTTTTGTGACAGGCCAGTGCACTTGTTTGGAAATAGTGGTGCCCCCCTATTGAGCAGTTTCAGAATAATTTTACACATGTGGTTCAGCGTTGTTATGAAACATATCCTGTGAGTTTTGTAAGAACTGTAAATTCCTGATTTACAGTCTGATTTGTGTTATGCCACACCTGTTTTTTCTTTTTTCATGTGTAGCGCCCCCTAGTAATCAGTTTGAAGGAAATTTTCAGGTTATATTTCAGGTACTTATGTGGACATCAGCACATGAAAGTTTCATACTGAGCAGCCCAATGGTTTTGGAGTTAGGTCTTATAAGCTGTGAGCCACGTCCCTTTAATGTTCATCGGTCAATATCTTCAAAACACAGTGAGATAGCGACAAGCTTTTGATAATTTTTGATAAGCTCAGTCCAATGATGATACACAGAAAATTGGGTACAAATCGGACCTAATGTTTAGGAGGAGATGTCAGAAATGTATTTTTCAAAAAAATGTAAAATGGCGGAAAATCTGCAGAGGCAGACCTCAGTGGTTCTTGAGGCTTTTCTGTAGAAAACATTGAGCTGGAAGTGTGTGTGTCGAATTTCAAGTCAAGCAGACTTATGGTGCAAGGGGCGAGGCCTTTCTAAAATTGCATTTCTTGGCCGTAATTATAGCGCCCCTATTTGGCCGATTGGGGTCATATTTGTTGAGCAGCACTTTGTCACAACTTTCAATCACTGGTGAAAATTCTTTGTGCATACGGTGTACTGTGTCACAGGAAATTGCACAAATATTTGGGAAGAAAAGAAAGCAGCACAAAGACAACAGGGTTTTAAGCCCCTGATTAAATCAAATTAATGTAATAATGGAAGTAGATCATTTTTCTCTGTGTTATCGATTCCTGCAGCGTTGTTATTGTTTCTGTCCTGCAGTGAAACATGCAGAATTCAGGGTTCTCTAAAAAGTTTTCTTGAAGAAGAATTCATGTTCTTTAGATGCTGAATTATTAAATGTTTGACTCACTGGTTCCACTGCTCTCTGTGTCTCAGGCTGCTGCAGAGAAGGAAGGTGCTTCGGCTGAAACAGGAAAACCTTCCGTCTCTGATAAAGAGGTCAGTCTGGTTCGTCCAGTTGGATTAGTTAAATCTGCTTATTACAACGGCTGAGGCAAGGTTGCTGGTTTGAATCCCAGGATACATAAATGGGGCGTTACACAACCGTATTTATCATGCAAAGCTGGAACACTGTGCCAGCAATCTTGTCAGGTGACATTTTAGCTCCATCCATCCATTTTCTGCTGCTTATCTGCTGCTCCAGCCTAAATACCACAAGTGTGACATTGTATGTGTGTCCAGGCTCGGACTGAACAGTCAGGTGTCAACAGGCTATTACTTTTTGTTTCTGTTAAATGTTCAATATGTAATTTTCCGCCCCTCAAATTAATAAAAAAAGATGGAGCAATGTCATCATTGCAGTCAGTTTCTCCAGTTAGGATTCCTTTTGGGTTCAGGAGGTTTTCACGTGAAGCTAAATTATCCACAGAGGTCTTTTTGTCTCCAACAGTAATGGACCAGCTTGTTTCTCAGATAACTTAAGATCCAGATGTCCGATGACTAAAATCCTTTATCCGGATAAAAACAACTAATCTTAATCTAAAAAGTGTGTTGTAAAAAAGTGGCTATAACATATAACATACAGACAATAACAACAGATATTTTAATATGGAAAAGTTACATTTCAGGGGCTTTGGTGGCTTAGTGGATAGAGCAGGCGCCCCATGTACAAGGCTGTTGCCGCAGCGGCCCAGGTTCGACTCCAGCCTGTGGCCCTTTGCTGCATGTCACTCCCTCTCTCTCTCACCCTTTCACACTTGTCTGTCCCAAAAAAAAAAGTTACAATTTCATATAATCTAACCTCCTGCGTGTGTTTGCTCAGGTGGCGCCTGCTCATCATCACTTCGATGCTGTGGCTCTGAGCTGGGAGGACGGACCCTACATGTTCATCCTGAATATCAAAGAAATCAAAGAAAAGAACCGAGCCTCTGCCAACCCCCCCGCACCCTGGAGCCTACAGTGTCAGTCAAACTCACAAATAAACCCTACACACATGCACCCATACACACACACACACACACACACACACACACACACATTACCACTCATTTGTTTAACCATTAACCATTAGTCATTTCCTGTTTCCATTGCTGGGAAACGGAAAATGTAGCAGTGACAGATGCTACATTTGCACCAGATTTCTGTTACACTGCAGGTTTATGGATGCCACCATCGTGATGCGTTTGTGCACCCAAACAAAATACTTGACTGTATTCTGACAAACAGAAGAAAGCGGCACAGTGCAAACTTATCCTACAGAAAGCCTACAGTCAAATGAATCACACAGTTTTGTTACACAGATGAATGCACGAAGAGCTCGTCCTTCTCACTAGGGATGCATGATATGGATTTTGGCGATACCGATAAAGGATAATTGCCTGCTTCTCATGACCAACAACTGATAATTTCACATTTTTGTATCTTAAAACAAACTTAATAACCTGTAGTTTATGCACACCTGAGGGTCGCCCTGGTGCCCTCTTCAAAAAGCCAATGGGATTTCTCCATTGAATTTTGGATTATTGCAGAAAATAAACTCTGTGGCAAACAAACATTTATGATATTTGGATGTTTTGTTCAGCAAGATAACCTTCACTCATGAACACCACTTTTATGATGTTTGAAGCCTAAATCAATCAAGTAAAAAGTTAACGTAAGGCTATAAACAAACTACTGTATAATCGCATGACTTAATATCACCACCACAGCACAGCAGTAAGGCCATGCTTGGCGTGATGAGGACTCAGCATGGCTGTTATCTTTCAGTTGTCGCCAAAAGATAATCATGAGCTGATTGAACTGCCAATCTGAAAGTGTCTCTTTGTGTTTGCAGTGCAGGTCAGCATGAAGGGTCCCCATGACTACATATCAGCCTCTGAGTGGCCGATGATGGTGGTAAGAACACACACACACAAAACACAAAATAACACTTCAAGAACAGAAGTCAAACATTCATCTTTGTGGAGTAAAAAGAGAAGTCTAGTGTTATTGTTGATTGTACTTTTTGTCAACAAATTCCATGTTTAGACTCAAACCAACGATGTGATGCTCTAATAGTTTCTGACTTCCTGTCTGTGGCACCTCGGCCCCAGCTCATTGCTTCCAGCTTAAGACATACATATTTAAAAACACATCACAAATCAGGACATGAGGTACGAGGTTGATGCGAACAAGTTTGCTCAAATATTAGGGGGGACACTTTTGTCCTCTCAAAATATTGGTAGGGACATGTCCCTACTTTCCATATGCAAACCTACGCCCTTGAAGAAAATATAAGACACCACCAGACTTATCCTTCAAAGGAGCATTTAAAAAAAGGTTCAAACACTGTTTAATGACCAGTCAGGGCCTACAGGAATACATGAGTGCCGCTAATTACACTTCAGCAGGTCAAAGTTGAAACTCCAAAACTCATTTTCAAAAGCATCTTTAATATTTGACAAACTCTGTTTTCTCTTTGTGGGATTGTGTCCCCAGTTCTACATGGTGATGTGCATCGTGTACGTGCTGCTGGCAGTGCTGTGGTTGGTGCTGTCAGCGTGTTACTGGAGGGATCTGCTCAGGATCCAGTTCTGGATCGGGGGAGTCATCTTCCTGGGCATGTTGGAAAAAGCTGTCTACTACGCTGAGTACCAGAGCATCAGATACGACGGCTTGTCAGGTAGGTGAGGATACAGAGGTGGTTTCTCTCTGGACTGATGGAGGGTGAACCTTTGACCCAGCATGTGTTAAGTAATGTGTCCTCCTGCAGTCCAGGGGGCCGTGGTTTTTGCTGAGGTGCTCTCTGCAGTGAAGAGGACTCTGGCCAGGGTGTTGGTGATCATCGCCAGTCTGGGTTATGGCATCGTCAAGTAAGCACAGTGCTCTCTCTTTAGTAGTTTTAACATAATGAGGTTTCCTCGTAAGATTTTTAAAACCAACTTTATAACTCTCACCTTTTCATGAACTTAAATTTGAAGTAGGAAAAGGACCTGAGTAAAGATCACTTTCAGATCATCCCTCAGACTATAACATGTGAAACATTATGATCACACGTTATTTCAGGGTGATGGGATCTGTTTGTCTTCCAGGCCCCGACTTGGTGCATTGCTCCACAGAGTGGTCGGAGTCGGTCTGCTCTACTTGATCTTTTCCATCGTTGAGGGGATCCTAAGAGTCAACGCTGTAAGTCACACGCACGGTGTGTATTTGTGTGTGTGTGTTTGTGTGTGTGTGTTTGTGTCTCTAACCTGTTTCTCTCTCCAGGATCGAGGCAAGAAAAACAGCAGTACATTGTTGTGTGACATAGTGCTGGCCTTCACTGACTCCTGTGTTGTCTGGTGGATATCCTTTAACATGAACATTGATTGAGCACTGACCACATCGGTGACCAGTAATTCATTAGTTCTTTAAAGTGTAAAAGAATACTTCACCCCCAGAACGACCATTTGTATTTAAGTTACTCTCCCTGTGTTGTGTTGAATTTGTCAAAAAGCTTTGTTTTCTTCATATGCGTCTACGATGAACGGAGAATCCGTAAAGGGGACCATCAAGTTTACAACTGCAAAACTATCTATCAGGGCTTCATACTCCTGTGTTGTACCTACAGCGTAGACTCTGCGTAGACTCATACCCTATGTCCTAGCCTGACATGCAACTCCACAGAAATGTGACTGTAGGTTGCAGCAACCTCCTGTTTATTTTTGTAAACTGAAAAACAATTTCCCTCAGTGGAGACAAAGTTTTGATTTATTTTTATTTTTATTTCACGGATAAGAAATGTTTGTGTTTATCCTGGATTCATATGAGTAGAGAAAAACTCTGCTAGCCACAAGGCTAATTTATACAATGTAAAATGCCATGCTGAAATGCTATAAACATTAGCATGTTGTCTTTGTGCGGAAAGCATGTTTAATATTAGACAGTTTGTTGTCTGTGAATCTTGTGAGTTATCAAACTTTACTGCCCTTCACAGAAACCCGACTGCCGACTAGTGTCTTTGAGGTGTAAATGCAGAGCAAAACAGATGCACCGCCATACAAGTAGAAAATTCTCACAACAGCTTCACAGATTTGTGTTACCAAGCCTGTTATCAAGCCTGATTTCACAGTCTCAAAGTAACTATAGTTTTATTAACGGACACTTTTTGAAGATGTCAGCACCCCAGCCTGCTGCTGATGTTGTGCCTGCTGCCACTAGAGGGTGATAACAGACAGAAACCTGCTCTTCTGTCTGTCTGTCTGGGTTTAGGCATGTTTAGGCATGTTGTTTGCTCAGCAGATTTGACTCCAGGATGTTGTCTGTGTTTTGTTCTGTTGATGGGATAAACCCCACCCACCTGGTATGTTGTTTAGCGAAACAAACTCTTTTTTTTTAGAATGAACTGTAGCAGCTTATTGAGTGTGGCACTCTGTGTCTGCATTTCTGTTCCGTCTCGTTTGCCTCTCCACATCTTCCTCTTCTTCCCCTAGCGTTCAAACTTTCTTAATCCTTTTTCACATCCTGCTTTCTTGGCCTCCTTCTCTCCATCTTCCTTTTATCTATTCTTCTGTCGTTCTTTTCTTTCCCTGTAGGCTGAAGATGATGTAGTTCTCCTGGCTGCTATTCCCCTGGCTGTGCTCGACTCTACCCTCTGCTGGTGGATATCCGCTACTGCACATTCCCCTTTTTAGTACAACTGAAAGTTTTTTTCTCTCTCTCTCACTTTCTCTCATTTTCCCTATTCTTCTGCTTTGTTCGTCTATGCGTATAGTTTTTTGTGTCCAGCAGAAATCCTGTGGAGCTACAATGTGCAGCATGTAAAGTCTTTAAAAGAACTCTTGAGACTATGGTATCTTGTTTGTTGTACAAACCTCTCCAACCACAGGAGTTTGGGAGGGTAGACATTGCTCAGTCATTAAACGGAAGAAAATAATCAGATACAGAGAACTTAAATAGAGAGAAAAAACAAAATCCAGCTGGTAGTGTTTATTGAATGTGCCGTTGATGTTCCTTGACTGTGTCGTCACATCTTTGTGAGTCTGGCTCATACGATGAAGCTACTGAAGCTGAGGAGGAACGTGGTGAAGCTCTCTCTCTACAGACACTTCACCAACACGCTCATCTTCGCTGTCATAGGTATGAAAAATATTCTGCTTGTGTTTGAATGTTTGCTGAAAAATGTTTCACGTCTTTAAAGCTTGCATGTGTGTGTTTTTCAGCGTCGGTCATCTTCATCATTTGGACCTACAGGACCTTCAAGATTCCTAAATGTCTGTCTGTGAGTATTTGAGATTTTTGAAATACTCAGCAGGATGCAGAGCCTGGGTTACTCGGCTTGATAAAAAGCTTCACAAATGTCTAATAGGATAAAATAAAGAACTGATGACATTTTACAGGAGGGATGTAAGTTTTTCATATCCCCCAATTTTTTTTTGAACACGTCTAAAAAATGTGGAAGTGACTGGCATCCATGTGTCTGCACTGTAACACTGCTGTTGTGACCAGGATAGTTTGCCCTGAATGTGGGGTGTGACGAAGAAGAAGAAGTTTTTCCAGCCAATTTCTCTCAATCTCTTGGAACTTGTGGACGAGTGTTGTGTTGCAAGTGTTAATTTTATGGTTTTGTCACCTTTGTTAGGATATTTATGCGACTCTCCTCTATTGATCAATTTTTCAACCGACTGCATTCTTTGATATTTTTTTTGCTCAGGGAGATTTTCCAGCCAGCAAAAATAAAAAAAAAAAACATTTTCTTCCTGTAAATGAAGATTTCAGATTGCTTTTCAAGTGTTGTCATTAAAAGCATCTCTCTCCATCTGTGTCTGTAGGACTGGAGGGAGCTGTGGATAGATGACGCATTCTGGCGCTTCTTGTTCTCCATCATCCTATTGGTCATTATGTTCCTATGGCGACCGTCAGCCAATAACCAGAGGTAACAGGGGATGTCAGGGACGTCTTCTGACAGCTTTGCTCTCTTTTTGACTGTAAATTAAAGCCAGTGTCTTTGTCTCTCTTTGTCAGGTATGCCTTCAGTCCTCTGTTGGATGAAGAGAGTGAGGAAGAGGAGAAGGAGCCCATGATGAACGAGGCTTTCGGTCAGAAACCTTCCTCCTTTGCTCCCTTGCTTCCTCTCTCCTCTCCTCCTACCTTCCTTGCTCACCTGTTGCCTCCTCTCTCTCTTTCTGGCTATTTTCTGTCTCACCTCTGTTTGAATGTTCTTGGTGCTCTCCTATTTCTTTCTTTATTTTTTAGATAGATAGTTAGTTAGGGTGACACTGTGACACTTTTTAATATTTGTCTCTCAGCCAGTTGTTAAATTATTGATTTAAACTAAAAATGAAACATAAAAACTTATGTAGTCGAAACCAGCTTCTGTGTACGATAAGCTTTCAGTGAAATATGCTTCATTTTAAGTTATAAATGTGACTTTAATACATCCTCACTTTCATATTTTCCTTTTTATCTGTATGTCTTTGTTTTTTACTCCTGTCTGTCTGTAGAGGGGATGAAAATGAGGGGCATGAAAAATGAAGCCAACGGTACGGCCAAAGCCAACAAAGTGGTGAGTGGCGATCCACATCAGCTGCCATTTTTAATAAACTAAAACCATACTTGCTCTCCAGCATTCTTTTCTCATTTAGTGTTCGCAAACTAATTTGTTTAAATGTTGTCAGCGGTAGTTCCAGTTTCACCTCAGATTGAATTATTATTTCTCCACAGTTCAGAGTGCAGTAGGTGAGTCAGGAACAATACTGTGATAGAGCACCACTGTACTCACAGCTCCGCAGCGATGAAAAGTATAATTTGAGTTTTGTGTGTGTGTTTAGAGTCTCTGTGTGGATGAAATTATAAAGGTCATATATGTGAGTCATACTACTGCAGATACAGCTCAGATATTCAGCACTTGCTTTTATCAGGAGTGAAACAAAGCACCAGTTGACCTGTTGTGCAATTCTAGTCTTGTCTTTAAACATGTGGGATATCATTAGTTTTAGCAGCTCAGTCAGTCAAAAGTCCCACATGCAGTATAATACTTCTTTTTCAATAAATACTCATAGAGGAAATACATCAGCTGATTTGATTATTTTTCCAGGATGAGGATCTGAAATGGGTTGAAGAGAACATCCCCACATCGATGGCAGATGTGTAAGTCATCATCAGCATAAAGTCGGCATGTTGGCACTGACTATTACATATCAGACATGATCATAAATTATTCGAATTTAATGTTAAAAGTCTTTGTTTTTCCTTCTCACAGCGCCCTGCCCCCGCTGCTGGACTCCGATGAGGTAAGTCATTAGGTTGTCTAAATTATGATGTAATACAGACAATAAGAGAAGATTAAACTTTTTAGATCCTCATCCAGAATTGAGGTCATTTCAGGGTCAAATAAAAATATTCAGCAACCCAAAACTGAAAATCAGAGTAAAGTTAAATAGTTTTTAAGTATCGTTTGTTGCCCATATCTGGCTGGTGAGCAGGAAACTAAAAACTGTTGACATAAATTCAGAGAGGTTAGATAAAAATAGTATACAGTATGTCAATTATTAAATGTCAGCTATTTTTTTCTCTCTGTAAATATGTGTTTTAATTTCTACTGCTGCCTGTCTTGGACAGGTTCTCCCTTGAAAAAAATCTCAGTGGGACTCTCCCCGTAAAACAGAGATGAAATAAAAAATATAACATATCTTTAACCCTATATGATACCGTCTTGCCTCTAGGTAACGTACCCATTTTTAAAACATTTTTTTAGTTTAACTGAAGACAAAATTTATATATATATATATAGATTTATATATGTATGTTTATATATGTTTATATATGCAGGACACACACACACACACACACACACACACACACACACTTGTTTATCCTATTTGCAGTTGTGATTGTGAGCAGCAGGGGGCGGCAGACAATCAGAGCAGAGAGCAGCTGTTGCTACGGTTACGTCACACTGTTGTTTATCCTCCTCTGTGTTGTCATGGCGAGCAGAACAATGTGACGGCGACGTGCCTGTGTGTGTGTGTTTTGGATGTTATTACATTGATGATCATCTTTAACACAAATACACTTTATGAAAGAAGCTGATTTATCTGATGTTGAACATAAATCCTCAGTCAGAATCTCCTTTGTCGTCTTTTATATATTTAATATGTGTTTATTTTGTTTATCTTCTGCGTTGACTGTCTTACCATTTTCTAAATTATTTACTCTTTGATCTCTAACTGAACCTTTTTTAAGTGACCCAGCAATCAACAGAGTGCCTCTTATGTAGAATCAATTTCTTATGTAAGCTGCTGTATGAACGCTGAGAGATATTAAATCCATAGAAAGCATTAAGTCCTCGCACACTGCAGTGTCCTTTATGGTGTTTCTGTTTTAAGGAAAGAAGGAGGAAACGTTTTGAGTAGGCTTAGATTAAAATTGTTTCCATCAGATTCATCAGGTGTACTTGTCGTAGTAATTGAAGGTCACTTGTTTTTCTGTCACATCAGTGATTTTAAACTGCAGGCTGTTTGACATGTGGGTGAGCACTGACAATGTGATGAATCTCCCTTATTAGAAGGTGAAATTAAGGGGAAATAATCGCCTTAAAGCTGGGGTCGGTTCCTTAGCGTCCCCATGTTTGGTCCCCCTCTGTTGGGGTACCTAGCACACAGATCTGGTACTAAAAGGTGGAGCTGTGAACACTGCAGTCTGATTGGTCAGTAGAGGACGGTCACTCTGCTCAGGGCTGAGTTGTGTCTGGTTTTGAGGCTCATGTAACCACTGTTCATACTGTGGAGAGTTTTATTAGTGAACTGTAACTACAAAATGAAAGGATGTTTTGCTGCCTCTCACAGCAGCTGGAGTCTGAGAAACAATAACTTCATTCACTGGGCCGACTGCCAGCAACTTTTAAGGTGGAACGTTAACTTGTAATGTTACTCAATGCATGAGTTGATGACATGAATCCATCAGCACACCTTAAATTTCACTGTGACAACTTTGACCATCACTTTAGTTTTTATTGTCTCTCTTGGATGACACAGACTTTTGGTAGTGAGCAGATCTTCAAGATTAAAAATATGTATTAATTTTGACGGGACAATACTGTGGTCTTAGCTTTCTATTGCAAAATAGAAGCGAAGTGCTTGCTGTGCTAAAACATCACTAGTATCATGTGATACACATAGACCAGACCGGCATCTGGCCATTGCCAAGGCTTTGCCCCCTTTTGGGTCACTGATCCACTTGGATGGTCTAAAGGGACATTACGGTAATCAACTTCAATCAAATAGGAAAGCTCTCTCTCTGGAACGACCTGTGATTGACCAAAGTCTCCCGTCACAGGTCACATTTTTTAGAGTCTGAAAACAGCGCTGAGAGGAGGTGCAGGAGTCTAGTTTTCTCTCAGACCACTTGAATTACAATATGCTCAAATGCTATTACATTTTACCCAATGAAGCCAAAATTAAACTGCCTTCTCCAGCTTTGACTCCATACTATTCAGTCCTTATGACAGATTATGTAATGTACTCTCTTATTTAAGAGGGAGACCCTACCCTGCCCATTATCCTTATAATGATAAATTATGTAATTCATCACGATTAAGGAGGGAATTAAAGGGAAATTACTTTACCCTGCCACCACCCCAATGCTCAGATATGCTCTCAGTGTTATTAACCTGGATTTTGATAGCTTCACTAGTGTCAGAGCACTTGTTTGTTTATTGTTTCGTCACAAATAAGATTCCTTCAACATTAGATCCACATTCACATGTACTCTTTATCATCCCAGAATCTTACACTACTTAATATACAGACTCTGACAGAATTAGAAGCCTCCTGTTCCTCACGTTTTCACCATTGATGGAAAGTGCATAGAACAGGTGGCTTCCTATAAATATCTTGGAGTCTGGCTTGATTCTAAACTTACTTTTTCTATTCATTTGGATAATCTTGCCAAAAAACTCAGGATTAAACTAGGATTTTACTTTAGAAACAAGCATTGTTTTATTCTCACTGCCAAAAAGAGACTTTTCATGTCTACCTTTCTTCCCATGATTGATTATGGTGATGTTCTTTATATGCATGCCTCTGCTGCATCCCTTAAGGCTATAGACACAGTCTATCATGGTGCCTTGCGCTTCATTTTGAATGCCAAATCTCTCACCCATCATTGTTTCTTATATGAAGGGTCTGGTCTGACATCACTAAACTATTGCAGATGGCGCCACTGGCATATTTTTATCTACAAAGCCATCTTAGGGCTACTCCCTGGCTATTTGAACCGCCTACTTAATCACTCTACTAGTGGGTACAGCCTGCGCTCTCAGGACTTCTTGTTGTTTTCGGTCCCTCACGCCTTCACTGAATTTGGGAAGACCGCTTTTAGTTATTATGCCCCTTGGTCCTGGAATCAGCTCCAGAAAACGCTAAAATTGGCTGACCTTGTTTCCTTGGGTGATTTTAAATGTTTGTTACAGTCTGTAAAAACAGAGCTCTGCAACTGCTTTCTTTGAATTTGATGTGTACTGTATGTACTTTATGTATCTATGTACTGCTGTGTTTATGTTTTTTGTTGTTGTATTGTTGTAACATTGGTTTGCTGCCTTCTTGGCCAGGGCTCCCTTGTAAAAGAGATGTCAATCTCAATGGGACTCACCTGGTTAAATAAAGGATAAATAAAATAAAATAAAATAAAATAAATTAGGCAACCACAAAGGACACAATTAGTCCTGCTAATTTTTAGGGAGGAAATGGAGAAAAAGGAAAAGTTTCTTTTGTAGCGGCCCATCAGCTGACACATTTCTCCGTCAGCCTGCCTAAAATGGTGAATTCGTATTGAAACCACGAAGCACAATTAGCTCTATTTCAGACTGGATTTCTTGTTAAAACTGGACAAATTGGCTTCTTCATGTGGAATGTGATCTTCTCTGCCACTCTGTGGTTTTCATCCATCATGTCTGCAACAAAAGGAATCATCTTAACAATGTCGGCCTCCTCACTGAGGGGTGAATAGAAGAGGGAGGGATGGACAAAAGAGGGGATGGAGAAGGATGAAGGATAGGGTGATTCAGTAAGTCTGAAATACTGAGACGTCAGGTCCATGAAATTGCCTGCCACTGATTAAAGATGGAGGGAGAACGGTGGGGAAGAAGATAGTAATGGCAGTAAACCGTCCACTTTTCTGTCTGGAGCAGCAATGTCACCTTATTTTGATCATAGACTATGAAAACATGAATATATTCATCCCTGAGGTCAGACAGAGTTCCTGAAGGGACATTTTAAACCTGGAGTTTTGCTTTACAGCCAGAAAGGCTCCAGTAAACACGCTCAAACATTCCCCCCTTTTAAAAACAGTAGTATCTCAGTAATATTATGAGGAATTGAAAATAACTATCAGAGAGCTTCTTGTGCAAACAATTATCAATTTTCTGGAGAAATGTTTGAGGTCTTCTCATTCACAGCAATACAGTCAAGAGTTTCACTGGAGTAGCATCTAGTGGCCATTAGTGGCACTGCAGCTTAAACCCCTTTGGTTGCTTTCTGACCAATATTAAAGGAGTAGTTCATTAAAAAGCAATAAAAATTGTATAGAATATTCACCTTCCTAGGCTCTTTATGGTGCAGAAAAGACTTTGATAGAATCCAAACAAAAGACAGCAAAATGGTCATAAAACATCCAAAAAAAGTTATGAAAATTCTTGGTCAGCATTATCTAAATGTCTTGTATCCCTTCGTGGGGTCATGGAAATCAAACACAGCATTTTTCTGTGAACAAAGCATTTCTCCTGAATGAATTTTTTGTGCACATACCAATTCCTTGATGGGGACGATAATCAAAAAAAATGCTTTGTTTTAGAAGGAATAGTTCTATAACCTTTTGTGATACCTTTTTTGTTCTCCATGAAAGTCTGTTTGCATCAGTTTGATTGATAATACCGTTTAAAATGTTTTGGGGTGAATTATTATTTTAAGGGGCCAATACTTAAGCCCCCACCCTGACATCTGTCCAGCATTAGATTAGGGAGAGCTGTGTCCTCAGCCCAACTGCCAGAAGACAATTTTGGCAATATACGCTTCTGCAAACCACAGAAACATTACATTTGCACATTTCATACACATCATATTAATGTTTCTAGAGTGATGCAGTACACTTTGGGTGGTGTGACACCTAGGAGAAGCACCTGCCAAACTGCAGACCACTGTTAAAGACCAACAAGCAACAAAACTGGTTGTGATTTAGCAAGTCACTTTTTAACCTCCAGACATGGGTGTTTTTGCAGCCCATTGCTGATTTTTCAGTGGGGATAGTTCCACAAAAAACTGTTGTTTTCATGCCTTTGGAGCAGTGATAGCTGTGGCTGTAAGCATGATGTTTTCGGGTTGCCTATCCATCTGTCCATCATATTCTTGTGAACACGACATTTCAAGAATGCCATGAGGGAATTTCTTCAGCCTTGGCACAAACATTCACTTGGATTTAACAATGAACTGATTAGATTTTGGTGGTCAAAGGTCACTGTGACCTTGTCTGTCTCATTTTTGCAATTGCAATATCTCATGAAAACCTTGAGGGAATTCTTCAAATTTGGCACAAACATCCTCTTGAACTCAAGAATGAACTGATTAGAATTTGGTTGTTGTAGGTCAAGGTCACTGTGACTTCTCAAAATATGTTTTTGGCCATAACTCAATAATTCATTTGCTAATTATGACAAAAAATTCACACAGATGTCTAATATAAAATGATGATGATGTGACATTTTGTATCCAAAAGGTGAAAGGTCAACTTCACTGTGACATCACAATATTCAGACAGGAGGAGAGACATTTGAATTGGTGACTCGAATCTTGAAACTGTGTTGATTGTTTAGATCTTCTGTGCTGTTGGGGGAAGATGTGTGAAGCATCCATTTTTTAAAACTTTAAACTAAAGAGAAACTTGACTGGTTTGCGGCGGCATACAAATGCAAAGTGGTTATTCTAATTTGCTGTGACAATGCTTTCCAGTGGGGATAGTGCCAGACTTAGTTCTGAGTTAACCATGGCATTGTTGAGACATGAAGTTTCAATTTGTCCGCTACATAACAATGTTGAAACGGATCTGTGGTTTGCAGAAGCAAATAAACATTTTTTCTGACGATTGGTTTGATGTCCCACAATTTCTGCAACTTTCTGAAACCAGTGAAGACACATTCATGCACTTTAGGCTGTGATTGGTGGGCTGTGTGGAGGTGAGAAAGGAGCCAGGGTTTTAACTTCACTAGCTTTCTTTTTTGAATCTTCACACAACTTTTTGTTGCTTCTCAGTCAACATTAAGAATGTCTGCACCGTTATCTCCATATTTAAATAATATCACATCCCCCACCCCTCTATGGAGGCCATATTCTCACCCTAGCTTTGAGTTTAGCTGTTCAGAACAACTATAAACACTTTTGATTCATAAATCTAGTTTCTAGAATTATTATCACAGTCAGAGTTTCTTCTTTGTAACCAAGGAGTAATTCAGTACGATGGTGTGTTATCTGTTGCAGGAGACCATGACGACTAAGTTTGAGATGTCCAAGATGGAGTAGAGCAGAAGAGGAAGGATGGACAAAAGGAGGGAACATGGAGGAGTGTTTAAAAAACACCAATCTGGTAAACAGATGGATAAATGATACAGATTAATATTGGTGGAGTAAAAGAGAATGATGGCTGATTTAATGCACATGTGAGGAGAGATAGATCGACTGGATGAAAGAGGGAACACAGAGAATAACGAGTGTTTGCTTTAAAAGACGGAGAGATTTAACCCCTGACTTTATGAGCTTTGTAAGCCTTGACTGTACATACACTGGGAGTAAAATCGATGACAGCAGCACACAGTTTCTTTTTTTTTCTTTTTATTGCCTGTTTGTATTTATATTTCTATATATATACAGTATATTTGGACAGATTTGATGCTAATGATGTTCTCTGCTACAGGAGTGGCTTGTTTGCCTTTTCACCGTTTACATGCGAAAATGTGATTTTCGAATATTGTCTCATTAGACATATTGTGTGTTTTTCCCTGTTGCCACAACAAGAGCACTCCCCGTCTCTGCTGTCTGTGTTTTTTTGAGTTGACACCTGTTGAGTGGGTTTCATTTTGATCCTTTAAACAGGCAAAAAAATAGAATGCCGCCTATGGACTGGTGTTGAAAATTAGCACGTGTGCTACATACACCTAAGCAAAGGCATCTGGTCTGTCCACTGGGACAGTCTCAATGTATTTGTGATGTCCATATCAAATAAAATAAACCTAACCTAACCTAAAACCAAAGTTGTGAATTTGAAAGTAAAAAAGAAACAAGGATGTGAATTAAAATATTGTTTCCTCAGTCTTACTTTTTTGGAGTTGTGAGGTTTGTCATCAAGCTTGTTCCAGCTTTTGTTCCAGTGAAATTTATACCATCAGATCACAGACTGTGCATGAAAATTATTTTATTTAATTGTTTCACTGTTTCTTCGTGTCTCTGTAAAGAAATTTTGGCAGGTTTTTTTCTACAAAGAAGGAGAGATGTGCTACAGCTGACTAATTAAAGGGATAGTTCAGATTTTTTTTAAAGTGGGTTTGAATGAGATACATAGTCAGCTTATTATCTACAGTCAGCACGCCCCCAGTTTGGAGAAGCAGTCTCAAGTACAGCAAGGAAGCTTAGCAATGTACTGCTGTGGACAGGTCAGCAACAAAACGTATTTTAGCCACTTTACCTTTCCATAAAACAGTGATTTCCGATGAGGAACTGAAGCCATTATATTGCTCTCTTTAAAGCCACCAGACTCCATTGAGAAAAACTGTGATTTAACATTGCTGAACACAGGAGCTGCTGTTCTACTGCATTGGTTAGTTTGTTTGTGCTATTGTGTGACTTTGGTGTTTAAATGGTTATTTTGGATGCACCAAATTCACACAATAACAAAACCTAATTAACTGATCAAAGCGGTCATAGATCAACAGCTCCAGCAGTGAGCTAGAATTACTGTTTTTCTCATCAGGGTCTGGTGGCTTTGATGAGAAATGAGGAACTGAAGCTATAAATATCTTCCCTGTCAGATTGGTCTGTCTGACGGAAAGCAGTGGAAATGCTGTCAATATAGCATACAGTGTTCTGCAGCTCTGCTCTGCTCCCTGTTACATTCACACTTAAGAGAATTTCATTAACATTTTCTTCACTGATGATGTATTATTTCACCCACCTGCAACCCATCTGCACTTCCCTGTGTGTGTGACAAGCAGTGTGTATGTATGTTGTGACCCTGCCTATGGAGGCACATCTGAATCATCATTGTGGTGGATGGGTTCAGCAACCACTGACTTATCACCTGGGGGGCCGGTGTTTGCTGTAAAGCTAAACTCTGTTCATTTTTTCTAAACCCAACCACTTGCATTTTTTGTTGAGGAGAAGAAAAGGTCAATTTGCGGTGTTGTACCAATATATATGTGGCGGATAGGCCCAACAACAAGTGACTATCACTCAGGAGGGGGTAGATTGTAAAGCCAAACCCTGCTCTTTTACCTAAATGTAACCATAAGCTTTTGGTGTTGAAGGAAAAACATCAATTTGCAGTGTTTTACCGACATAGTACGTTTATTTTGAAAGAGACTGTATGCAAACTGTACATTTCCTTTGAAAACCGAAGTATAGTTTGAAAACAGACAATGCATATAACGGGCTGAAGTTGACACGGCGTACCAGAACGTCAACAACCAACACACCCAGGGTACCTTGGACGTCATATCTTGATGTGGAAGTCCATGACCAAACGTCAAGTTATGACATGGTTGGAGTGAGCATGTGTTGGAAAATACCATACCATTCTGGTCAGTTGTTCTCTGTTGCCTCAAACAGCAATACGTTAACAATGCATCTGACCACACCTCATTTAAAGACTGACATGCCCATTGGCACACAGATACTTGTGCAAAGTGGCTGCTGGCCGTGACAATCCTCTAAGTTAGAAATGTATACGGACAGGGATGGAGCCTTCTCTTTGTACTCTATGTTCATTTTGTCCATATTTATGCACGTTTTCTGAAAGCTTTCAGATACTGATACCACAGGAGGTCATGGAGGCAGTGCAGTGTAGTTCAAGTGACATACGACTGTAGGAGGCAGCATTTACAAAATGGCAGCACAGAATGAGTTTGTAGTGAAAAGAATCCTCCATCCACATGCAGTGATTTATTGAATGGCCTCATAGACCACTGTCGTCTACAAGCTGCCTCCACTGAAAGGTACAATATTACAACTTCCTCCACCATTGCCTCGTTTGTTGTCAGAAACTTTTGACTACGCCCTTGGAGCCCTTAGTTTTGACTGAGACGTTATGACGGGTTATGGGTCAGTTCTGGTACTGAGCTTTAAAGGTATGGGCGGGTGCGGGTTTTCAGAAATGGTCCCATGCTGTACTTTGATGCCAACATCACGGAAGCAAAAGAGGCGTGACATGTAACAAAACAGCCTCGGCCTCCAGTGTGACACATAACATACACATCAGCAGGACTTTCTAAACAATAACAACGACACAACATTTCAGTAATAATCATTTACCATCTCTGTTGTATGGCGGCTGATCTCGTCGTCTGCAGGGAGGGTAAGGAGCTCCTGGACCTCATTGATTTCACTATTTGGGGATATTTATGGCCGCTGTTCTACTTTGAGTTAGCTGCTAACAGCTAACAGCTGCCTTCTTGTGGTGGGTCACCAACATAATGCGTGATAAAAACATCACATCTGTTCCACCCATGGTCACGTTTTTGACATTGTTACCACCTCCAGTCCCAGCTCAGAGGTGAGACCACTCTGTTCCCCCATTCCATGATTGTACCTAATATACGAAATGGCGAGGTGGCATAACGGCGCGATATTTCTGCCTTCAACAGGCGGTGTAAAAGTGACGTATCCTTTCCCTGTCTCCATGTCTTCTGTCTCCATTATTTAAATGGAAACCCTGCCAGACGAACCCATCAAGCATGCCCATCTATTTCAATATCTGTCCTCCTCGTACACAGAAACAAAACTTTATTCATTCAATTATTTGCTTGATCACACACGACCATGGCCACTTAGTATCTGCTCTCACACACACACACACACACACGTTACGCCTGTCCCAGCCTTGTGTGTTTTCTATGACAGCAGCCATTATCGCTCTGAGTGTCCAGCAGCCATGTGAACATATAGACTAGTGTGTGTATGTGTGTGTGTGTGTGTGTGTGTGTGTGTGTTTTCCAGCCTGCTAAGTGTTGACAGTGACTTGTCTGAATGGACTAAACGCTCTATACATCATCCAGTTGCGCCGCAGGGAAAAGTCCACTCTCCCTCTCTGCTGTCGGCTCCCGTCAGCCTGCAGCAGCTCGCTGTTATCAGGAACATCACATCCAGTGTTTTAGGTTTTTTGTGTGTGGCTGATTTCAGGTTTGAGACTGAATTTATTGTTGTTTTTTCCGCACAATCCTAATCTGAATATCTGATTCAGCATTTATATTTTCTTACATAAAGCAGCCATGATGGAGATTTAGATAAAGCATGTTTGACTGCTCGCACTGTTTCATTTTAAATTCAGTGTGCAGGAGTATAGGGCCATTACAGCTTTCTGCAGGCTGCGGAGTAAAACCCAAGTATTGTAAGTGACAGGATTTGAGAATTATTTTTTTTTTACCCACATTCAAATCTCATTAAAGCAAAATATCTGCCACAGTGTGAGAGCACGGAGCAGTATTTGTTTATGGGGCTATTAAATTTAGATGGAAGGGAAAAGTAATGAAAATGGTTTTAAGAACTAAACATCTGTTCCTTCTGAGTTGTTCAGTTTGTGGTGTGAAATGTGGAGGCAGGCGTCACTTAAAGTAATTAGACGTATTTAAAAAGCCTTTGTGATTACTTTCTCCTGTTAATCAGTCTGAAAGACTTAAGTGTGGATTTGTATCATGTCTCATTTTGGAGAGAAACTCTTCAGTCTGGTGTCTCCACATTAGAATGTGTTCCAGTTTTGTCTCACTTCATATCACACAGCAGCATCTGTTTGTTGTTCTCCAAAAAAAAAAAATCTTGATTATGTAAAGTACCGTGCTGTTTGGTTTGTAAATAAATCAAAAAAGTTAATAATAAAAATTTGGAAAGTAAACTATTAGCTTTGTTTTCTGTCTGTTTTTTTCCTTTTGGATATTTGTGAAAAATAAAATGATAACAGTTCTGGGACCTTAAAGGGATAGTTCAGATTTTTTGAGGTGGGATTGTATATACACTCACCAGCTATACTTCATCAGGTGCTAGCTCCAGGTTGGACCCCGTTGGCCTTCAGACCTATCTTAATTCTTGGTGTCATAGATTCAACAAGGTGCTGGAAACATTCCTCAGAGATTCTGGTCCATATTGACATGATGACATCACACAGCTGCTGCAGATTTGTTGGCTGCACATCCATGATGAGAATCTCCCGTTCCAGCACATCCCAAAGGTGCTCTATTGGACTGTGATCTGGTGACTGTGGAGGCCATTGGAGTACAGTGAACTCATTGTCATGTTTGAGATGATGTGAGCTTTGTGACATGGTGCGTTATCCTGCTGGAAGTAGCCATCAGAAGATGGGTACACTGTGGTCATAAAGGGATGGACACGCTCAGCAACAATACTCAGGTAGGCTGTGGTGTTTAAACCATGCTCAGTTGGTACTAAGAAAATCTCCCCCACACCATTACACCAGCAGCAGCAGCCTGAAGCTTTGATACAAGGCAGGATGGATCCATGCTTCCATCTGAATGTGGTTTTTCCAATCTTCTATTGTCCAGTTTTGGTGAGAAAACCCGTGTGAATTGTAGCCTCAGTTTCCTGTTGTTAGCTGACAGGAGTGGCACCTGGTGTGGTCTTCTGCTGCTGTAGCCCATCTGCTTCAAGGTTGGACAAGGTGTTGTTGCTTCAGAGATGCTCTTCTGCACACCTTGGTTGGAACCAGTGCTTATTTGACTTCCTGTTGCCTTTCTATCATCTTGAAGCAGTCTGGCCATTCTCCTCTGACCTCTGGCATCAACAAGGTATTTTGGCTCACTGGATATTTTCTCTTTTTGGGACCATCCTCTGTAAACCCTAGAGATGGTTGTGCTGAAAATCCCAGTAAATACTCAGAGCAGCCCGTCTGGCACCAACAACCATGCCACGTTCAAAGTCACTTTAATCACCTTTCTTCATCATTCTGATGCTCCGTTTGAACTTCAGCAGCTCGTCTTCACCATGTCTACATGACTAAATGCACTGAGTTGCTGTTACGTGATTGGCTGATTAGCTATTGCGTTAATGAGCAGTTGAACAAGTGTACCTTATAAAGTGGCCAGTGAATGTACTATCCAGTTTACAGGTCTATAAAGTCATCAATGAATATTCTTTCATCATTTGTAAATCTTTGCAGATCCTGACCTGTTGGCCATTTGATGGGAAACAAACACTGGTGGCTTATGATGAAACACCCGCACCCATTTCTCTATGTAAGCCTATACTCTCATGGTAACTTGACATGTGTCAGCTTATTCAGTGCTGCATACATCAGTGGCATCCCATGGCATTGCATAAAGCTGGAATTATGCTTTTCTGGGCTGCCATCGAGGTGACAACCCAACTGCCAGAAAAAATGTTGGTGTTGTGTGTATCCTGTAAACCATGGATACATTACATTTGTACATTATTATGTAGCAGATATGTTGTAACTTAACATCCACTTAAATGCCATGCACTGTAATGAATGTTGCAGCCTCTAGGGGACTAGCAGTATATAGTGAGCTCATTCCATATTAACTATAACATGTCCACTTCTACCGTATTAATATCACACATGCAGCATGCACCAGCTAGTGTTAACTCTGCTCTCCATCTGAATCATTTCTGTGCTTAAAATGTCTTTAAACTTGACCCCAAATCCTCCATCTGCAGACTCTAATTTGATCTAATGAGAGCAGCTGTAGCCTAAATGTCAGTCACTTAGCTGCAGTCAGTTCTTTGCTAAACTCCTCACAAATTTAAATGTCCTGATGTAATTTAATCTAAGTATGAAGACAGAAGCTTGGTATGTGAGCCCAGTACACATTCTGTAGGTGTAGATTTAGCAGCTGGTGTCTTCACGTTATAATCCTGACATGTAATCCATCTGTTCAGCCTTTTTTCCGTGTCTTTGACCTCAAGTGTGGCCCAATGAGAAGCAAATCTAAAGACGACTGTAACCACTCAGACATTATCATTATCTCGACATATTCTCCATCTGCTATTGAAAGCTGCTTCCAATTCAGTGATGAAGCTCTTTGTTAGATCGTTGTTCACTTACACTCCGACACATCGTCGAAACTGACATGATTATTACCCCACTTTGTCCATTAAAATGCCTTTGAACCATCAGTGTGTGTGTGTGTGTGTGTGTGTGTAGCTACTGTACTCTGGCATTACGGCTGTAATAACATAATCCCAGAGATTTGGCCTGACAGCAAGACAGTATGCTGCCGATTTCAACTGACAGTAGGGAATTATCGTCACCGTGCACTTTACAGACGGCTAGACATGTGTTATTATTGCTGCTGTGAGTCTCAACATGTGGCCCGTCGACCCTCTGAGGACGCTGACAGCAGCAGTTTAAGGATGAGTTAAGTCTAGAGTGATTTGGAAGTTATAACAGGGAAATAAACTTCAAACAGACCATCAGGTCCATTTAAGCTTTTTAAATAACAGAACTTTAGTTTATTGTTAGTAACTTTAATTAGTATTTGTTTTACAAACCAATCACCATAAAAAACATTTGGGGGCTAAGAAGACACTGGAAAAAGAGACACTAGTCCCAAAAAACACCCACATTTGGGGGGCTGAAAAGCAGCTGGAAAAACAGCCACAGGTCCCCCCCCCCAAAAAAAACCATATTAGGGGGCTAAAAACCTGCTTGAAAAAGAGCCACAGGTCCCTTTAAAAAAAATACATTTGGGAGTTGAAAAACAGCTGTAAAAACAGCCATGGGTCCCCAGAAAACACCCATTTGGAAGCCAAAAAGCGTTTTGAAAAACAGCTATAGGTCCCTAAAAAAACATCCCGTTTAGGAGCTGAATATCCGCTGGAAAAACAGCCATGGGTCCCTGAAAAACACCTAAGTTTGGGGGCTAAAAAGCTGCTAAAAAAACAGCAATAGACGCAACACAGCAACACACAGAATTCTGCGGGAAAAACAGCCATGGGTTCCAAAAAAACACCCACGTTTGGTGGCTGATGTTTGCAGAAATGTACAATACCAACATTTTCCTCTGACAATTGGTCTGAAATTTCTTACACAGAATACACTGGACCTAAAATCCCACACCCTGGCTGTGCTTTTAGATTGTCACAGGCTCAAATCTACAAAATATCTTCACATAGTTATGACTTAACTATTGAAAAACATGAGATAATTAACATTGTACAATTTCAGTTCTACTTGTATCCTCACTGCACATGTTCACGCTTTTTTTCAGAAGAAGAGTTAGCATCAGTTTAAGCTGGATAAACTGAAACATCAAATTAAAGTGCCATCCCAGCAGAACTAGGTTAACTGATATGAGTTTAGATACACTGCAAATTTAGATTTGACCGGAGTCACTGTGACAAACTTCCACACCCTGAAATGTGACCTGTATGACCACGAGTCCTCCTGAATATGCGCACATTGTGTCTGAACGTTTGCCTGACATGTGTTGCAGTTTCCTTTGTTTATTACAAAGGTGTGTCAGCAGCTCACATTCAGATCTGCTTACACTGAGTGAGCAGGTTCAGCATTTGGCTCAAGGACACTTTGACAGGACGCTTCTCTACCAAGCTCTCACCTTGGTCTTACTAACGATGCTTTGGCCTAAACAGGATCTGTAATCTGAGTAGCAAACACTTATTAATAAAGAAATACAGCTGTAAATAGCAAATGTCCACAACTACAATGATAGATTCCCCTTTGAAGAAAAAAAGGAGAAATTCACCTTTTATATTTCTCCCCCTATTTCACCACCACCAAATGTCCAAACTGGTCATTTTTGATGCTTCTAAGGTGCTGCTAGTCTTAAAATGACTGTACACGTACTTGCTACAACACAGGAAACGGTGTAAAGATGCTGCTGAAGACACTGAAATGAAGCAGATCATGAAAGCACTGGACAGACTCAGATACAAATGGCTCTTAGACACCTTCCAGAAGAGAGAAGAAGCCCACGCAGCAGCTATGAGGACATCAAATGTTCCCAGAAAAAGAGGTGAAATTCTGAAGCTGAGATGGCGAGGAAGAAACTGTTCTTTTAATTTGTAATAGTGAGAAGAAAGAAGACACGAGAATTACTGCATTGTGGTTGAATGCCTCTGCAGAGCAGTCAAGTTGCAGTTACAGTTTACATGGGTGTCTGTGAAATCATGGATGCTTCACACACAGAAGATCTATACAGTCAGCACAGTCTCAATATTAGAGTCACCAATTCAGTATCTGACCAAATGCCCCCCCTTCTGTTCCTGAGATATGATTTTGAGTAATAGCCAACTCACTGTTTTATACAGAATCTTATGATGAAGTTGACCTTTGACCTTAGGATATAAAACATCATCACTTTATCATTATATCCTATTAGACATTTGTGTGAAATTTTGGTCATAATTAACATATGAACTCATAAGTTATGGCCTAAAACATGTTTTTTGAGGTCACAGTGACTTTGACCTTCGACCACTGAATTCTAACCAGTTTATCCTCGAGTCTAAGTGGACATTTCTACCAAATTCAAAGAAAAAGCCTCCGGGTGTTCTTGAGATATAACGTTCATGAGAATGCAACAGATGCAAGGTCACAGTGACCTTTGACCACCAAAGTCTAATCAGTCCATTGATGAGTTCAAGTGGACGTCTGTGCCAAATTTGAAGAAATCATCTCAAGACGTTCTTGAGATATTATGTTCAGAAGAATGAGACAGACGGACAGACGGACAGACTGATGGATGGATGGACAACCTGAAAACATTATGCCTTGGCCATGGCTGTCACTGGCGCAGAGACAGAAAAATTGAGACAGAGGTAAGCATGGGCTTAAGCTTTTTCTGGAAACCTACTTTATCTTCATGTTTCTTTTTTCCCACAATGCCAAAAGAAAAGATTTTTTTT